AATGAGGAACATCATTGCTTTGTGGTTTTGAAAAGAAGTTATAATGTAACCCACAAGTGTCAGATGATTTCCTCTCCCAGTGTAAAATGATTTAACGTATTATGTGGGTGGCCACATACTTCCTGCTGTTTTTTGTTTTGTTGCAACAAATTTGACAGCAGCAATAAAGGTAAGGGAGTGTTCTTTCTAGGGGTTTCCTAAGCCGGCCATAAATGGTTTGAATCTCGGCCAGTTCAGTAGGGACCTGCAGAGATTTGAACCATCTATAGGCAGGCTGATTGTATCAAATTTGATTGTTGTACAACTGGCATGTTGGATTTTTACATGTGAATATTGCCAGCAGCTATAACTGCTGGCAATGATCACTGTGTTCTCCTTGTGTCCCCCTGCCAGGAAAACACAATAGCTATAATGGAGGGATTCCCCCACCAACACTGACTGTGTTAATGGGGGAATCGAGCAATTTTTTTCTTTTCTTCAATTTGTGGTTGCCAGAAAGTAAATAGCATTGTCTATGGCCTCCCTTACTCCTGCCTTGTGGTACACTTTTTTTAAGAAACCAGTGTAATACAAAATACAAATATTATTTTGGGTTTGGCATACTAGTATTTGGGATTGTTGTGGAGTATAAAGGGTTATCATTGTTATTGAACCATTCTCTAGTCATGCTAATTGTTCATGTAAATGGACATTATTTGCAAGGCTATCCATAGATCAATTAGTATCATACCGTGCAGCTGGCATGAAATTAATTGGCTCATGTAACATTAGCTGCTTCAGTATCTACCTGGCAGCCTGGCAATGAATTCATTTTATCTGTACAAATTTTAGGCAAAGCAGTAGATTAAGGAGAGATCTGCCTAATTCTTTTTAAATGGGATAAAGCTTTTAAAATACGGCCCTGGTGTCCCAACAGGTAGCAATATTTGATTAAGAAATTTTGCCAGATATGTTTTGATCTTGTTGATCTTCTAAGTTATTGACTAAACCAGTCTCTGTTGGTTATCTGAAATTGGTGCAAAAAATAAAAACATGAACCTGCAGCAGATATATGTTTATTCTTGGCTTTGGTGCAGGCTGGTAATAGGCAGCGATAGAAACGTATAAATGCTGGGCATTTCCAAAGCAGCAGTCTTGTACAGAGAACCAGTTTAGCAAAACATGAGAAATTTCACAAACTGTCCAAACTGTGGAAAGCTGTTCTTTCTGGATTAATGTAGGAGATAGCTATGATGGGCAATAAAGCATTGCCAGTCCACAGCACAATGTTGACCACCACAATACATTATCAGACAGCACAGCGTACTACAAATTTAACTGTAGTGAGGTTTAATACAGAATGAGAGTACTTCTTATGGCCATGGTTAACCACCAAATGCATGTACAGTGAGCTAAGGAACATCAGCACAAGAATGATACAGGAACAGCGACCCCATGACTGGAAATACATTGTTTGGCCCCAAAAAATTGCTGATTCCAGCACAAGTGTAGACTCGAGGTGACATAACGCTTTTGGAATGAGCATGACCACAACTTCCATGGGAGGAAGCATCCACCCACCAACCTTGGCAGTTGTCTGATACAATGATGTCTTCACATTTGGCTGCCTTGGCATGGTACATTCATCATCACACTTCTTCCTAAGGCACATGCATGTTTAAGTGAAAGTGATAACGGCAAATAAAACTGTGTGTCTTAACATGCTTTATATTGCACGTCAATGCTTGCAGAAAAAAAAAAAAACACACACACACATATTGACCCATATTGTTCTGCATTGCATTCTGCTTTGGAAAGTGTATTGTCATGCATTCCATTGTTTTAAACACATGTCCTTTAAAATGCATGTATGTGAATCCAGCCTAAGAAGTGTGTCCTAAGACAAATGTTTGTGCTAGCTGCTTGACAGTCTTTGACCAGGGACAATTATGCAGAAAGGGAAGTTTCAATGACTGATCTGCATACTTGATTTAAAAAAAGTATTGAGTGTAATAGCCAGGCAGCTAGCATTTTCAGAAAGGGAGGTTAGACTAGGAAGCCCAATTATTTCTCTCATGAAAGGCTTTCCTAAAAACACCATAGCTACAGCGTAAAACTAGTTTAAAAGTATCTACACTATATTGTCAAAAGTAATGGGACGCCTGCCTTTACACACAAATGAACTTTAATGGCATCCCAGTCTTAGTCTGTAGGGTTCAATATTGAGTTGGCCCACCCTTTGTAGCTATAACAGCTTCACTCTTCTGGGAAGTCTGTCCACAAGGGTTTAGGGGTGTCTATGGGAATGTTTGACCATTCTTCCAGAAGCACGTTTGTGAAGTCAGGCACTGATGTCGGATGAGAAGGCCTGGCTCACAGTCTCTGCTGTAATTCATCCCAAAGGTGTTCTATCGGGTTGAGGTCAGGACTCTGTGCAGGCCAGTCAAGTTCCTCCACCCCAAACTCTCATCCATGTCTTTATGGACCTTGCTTTGTGTACTGGTGCAAAGTCCTGTTGGAACAGGAAGGGGTCATCTCCAAACTGTTTCCACAAAGTTAGGAGCATGAAATTGTCCAAAAAGCCCAACTCCTGTAAAGCATCCCCACACCATAATCCCCCCTCCACCAAACTTTACATTTGGCATAATGCAATCAGGCAAGTACTGTTCTCCTGGCAACTGCCAAACACAGACATGTCCATCGGATTGCCAGACAGAGAAGCATGATTGGTCACTCCAGAGAACACGTCTCCGCTGATCTAGAGTCCAGTGGTGGCGTGCTTTAACTACTGCATCCAACACTTTGGATGCCATTTGCTTTTTACTGAGGAGTGGCTTCCGTCTGGCAACTCTACCATACAGACCTGATTGGTGGAGTGCTGCAGAGATGGTTGTTCTTCTGGAAGTTTCTCCTCTCTCCACAGAGAAATGCTGAAGCTCTTTCAGAGTGACCATTGGGTGCTTGGTTACCTCCCTGGCTAAGACCTTACTCCCTCAATCACTCATTTTGGCCAGGCGGCCCACTCTAATAAGATTCCTGGTGGTTCCAAACACCTTCCATTTACGGATGATGGAGGCCACTGTACTCATTGGCACTTTCAATGCTGCAGAAATTTTTCTGTACCCTTCCCCAGATCTGTGCCTTAATACAATCCTCTCTCGGAGGTCTACAGACAATTCCTTGGACTTCATGGCTTGGTTTGTGCTCTGACATGCACTGTTAACTGTGGGACCTTATATAGACAGGTTTATGCCTTTCCTAATCATGTCCAATCAACTGAATTTCCCACAGGTGGACTCCAATAAAGTTGTAGAAACATCTCAAGGATTATCAGTGGGAACAGGATGCACCAGAGTTCAATTTTGAGTGTCATGGCAAAGGCTGTGAATACTTATGTGGTTTTTTTAATTTTTTATTTTTAATAAGTTGCAAAGATTTCAAAACAAACTTCTTTTATGTTGTCATTATGGGGTATTGTTTGTTGAATGTTGAGGAAAAAAATTAATTTAATCCATTTTGGAATAAGGCTGTAACATAACAAAACGTGGCAAAAGGTAAGCGCTGTGAATACTTTCTGGATGCCCTGTATATGCATCAAATGAACATTGCAACAGTTCTGTAGCTAGATGAGCATAAACCATTGGTAAAGCTGGCTACGTCTGTATTAAAATTCAGCCGATTCAGCAGGAACCAGACAAATTTCAGTCTTTGTTTAGCCCTCTCTACTCAACAGAAGCTGGTCATGAATGGTCTTGCTGGAAAAGCAACATTCAATCAGCTGCTGCAGCCAATGGCTGCAGCACTGATCAGTGTATTCTGACAGGGTGGTGAGACCCTGCTGTCAGAATACGATAGCACCGTAGGGAGATTGCTTCATCTACATTGTTTGTGTGGATGTGGGAAGATGTGAGGTTTTTTTTTTTCGTTTAGCCCTTGGGTTGAAAAACAAAAAACCCAGCTTTAAGATGGATTGAAAATCTGCTGGTTCGGCAGGAATTGTCTAAAATCCGATCCATCTATAAACCAGCTGGTTGTACTGAAGTTGATTTATCGATTAATTTCAGCACATCCATCCTGTTGAGTTTTTTTGCCCGATCACAGCTGGCGGCTATAGCAACAGCAGTTATTGTATCCTGCCGGTGAGGAAGGCTGCTGGCAGAACACAATAGCGCTGCTGGAGGGATTCCCCCATCAACACAGTGTTGATGGGGGAATCAAACAATTTTGCTAAGAAGCAAGGAGAGACTAGTGCGCTGCAAAAATACCCTTACAGAGAAAAGCTACTGCCTATAACAGAATGTGTTCCCACATAAAAGTGACAAAGAAAAAATTGTATGTAGTGTGGCGCTGCTAATAAGTGCATAAATAACAAAGGCCAATATAAGAAAGTAAATAATATATAAAAAACAATAAAGTGAATCAAAAATGGATGTATCAGCAAACACCCTACTGACCATCAAACCCTTGCATTAATCAATCCTCTTTAAACTCAAAAATATGTATTAAAATATAGTTCATGAGCACCAAATTACAGCTGCATAGAAAACACTAAATAAACACAATTAACCACTTGCCCTCCAGAGGATTTACCCCCCCTTTCCTGACCAGTTCATTTTTTGCATTTCGGTGCTGTGTTATTTTAACTGACACCCGCGTGGTCATGCAACGCTGCACCCAAATTAATTTACGTCCTTTTTTTCCCACAAATAGAGCTTTCTTTCAGTGGTATTTGATTGCCTGTGCGGTTTTTTATTTTTTGAGCTATAAAAAAAGACTGACAATTTTGAGGAAAAAAAACTATATTTTTGATTTTGCTATTAAACATGTTCAGTAAAAAAATTTTAAAAATCAAATTTCGTCATAAATTTAGGCCAAAATGTATTCTGCTACATGTCTTTGCTAAACCAAATCCCAATACGTGTATATTAATTTGTTTACGTGAAAGTTATAGTGTTTACAAATAGCGGTATATACAGTATACTGGATTCAATTTTTTATATATTTACTAGCAATGGCGGGGATCAGCAACTTATAGCGGGACTGTGGCGGGCATTCTGACACTGCGGGGGAACTGACTTGGTGTCACTGACATCCCCAGTGACACCAATACAGTGATCAGTGCTAATAAAAAGCACTGACACTGTACTAATGGCACTGGGCAGGAAGGGGTTAACATCTGAGGCGATCAAGGGGGTTAACTGTGTGCTGTGTGTGTTTTACTTGGGAAACATACTGCTGTGTATTTCTCTGCTGTGCGGAGAATTACACAGCGGTATGTTACTGTTGGCAGGAGAGAGACCTGTGTTGTTTACATACAGGTCTCTCCCCTGTCACTGTTCTTCAGCGATCAACGAGTGCCAGGGGAGAATCTCCGGCCAGGACCTGGTGATCGACATCTGAATGCAAAATCATGTAAGGGTTAACTGTGTGCTGTTTTACATATTGGGCTGTGTGTGTGTTTCACTGTAAGCACACTGCTTTGCATGGTTTTGCTATGCAGAGCCATGTAAAGCAGTGTGCAGGACAGCGGAGAGAACTCTATTGTTTACAAACAGTTCTCCCCCCCTTCGAAGATGCTTGGTAATCATCGGGAGCCGGTGAGTAATCACTGGCCGGGACCCGGTGATTGACAGCTGAGGCCGCGAATGGCGGCGCAGTGGGGTGACTTTGCGCAGCCGTGCTGCCCTGTAGCAGTATTTCTGCTGTAGGGCAGACAGGGAGTGGTTATAGAATAATAAATAAATAATGACTGATTAAATCACGTGACCTGTGACGCTACGTGTTGGATGGAAGTGTGATGAAATTATGTTCTGTTTACCGCTAGAAACCGCCATTTTGCCTCTCTGTGTTTACATGCTGTATCTGGGCTGTGTGAACCCACAATCCTTATGAGTGTAATTTAAATTTTCTATTTTACTTTATTAAAAAGAAATTTGCACTATGGGAAGTTCTCTGCTTTATCCTATGAGCAACTTTGACACAAACAGTTGAGTTGACCCTCTGGAAGCCACCCTTTTGTCATTTCTAGCGGATGCTGCAGGAACAGCTGGAGTGACCATGGATATAATACACAGTGCTGTTGTTGACCTGTATACCATAGGTCAATAAAAGTGGTGAGCAGGCATGCCTGGTGGTAGATGAGCACTGTGGTGGAAAGATTGTTTTGAAGAGTCATTTCACTTGGGGACTGAAAATTGCTAGTCATTCACTATATGGATTAATATTTTTCATTTTTGCACCATCTACTCATGTTTGCACTGTTTATTTTTTATCTTGAATGTGTATGATTGTCAGCCAGGTGTTCACTATGTTTTTTATGCATGTAGATTAGGGAATTTACCAATAGGGGGTATTTTTTTTGAACATACCAGTACTTCTTTTGTTAGATTATTATTTTTTATTTGATCTTGCACTAATTGCCTCATATGGATGTGATGGTCAGCTGGGTGTTTATTATTTATTTTTTATTATTTAATTGTATCCATTTAGTGTTTTCTATGCAGCTGTAATTTGATGCTCATGCACTATATTTTAGTATATATTTTTGAGTTTAAATAGGAGTGATTGAAGCACGGGTTTGATGGTCAGCAGGGTGTTTGCTGATACATCCATTTTTGCTTCACTTTATTGGTTTTTTTATATATTATTTACTTTCTTATATTGGCCTTTTTTATTTATGCACTTATTAGTAGCGCCACACTACACACATTTTTTTCTTTAATAGTTTTGCTAGGGATGCAGCAATATATCGGCGGTGAAATGTATCCGCCAAAAAAGGTGTTATCGGCACTCTGCCGATAGGAAAAAAGGTGCCAGTAATGGCCACCATTAAATGTCCGCCGCAATTTTACTCCCGATTTTGTTGTGACTTTTATGCAATTAGGGTGCATTTTTCATAGGTCATGTGACTAAAAAAAATTCATCAAAAATGCAACATGTGTGCGTTTTTCCTGCATTTTCAATGCATTTCTTGCCTGGTTCACACCAATGCAGCTTGTATTTTTTCCGTATTGCAGTGCTTACTGCAGTGTATTTTGCATTTTTTCACATGCATTTTTTATGTGTGTTTTTGCGTGAATGTTTTTTCTTTTTGGCCAACTTGTTGCTGGGCAGATTAAACATTTAAACATGCCAAACGCATCAAAACCGCACTATATGCGTTTTCTGCAGTGTTTTCATTGAAGTGTATATTACCAAAAACGCAACATTTTACGTTTAAAAAAGTCCCTCACCCTTTCCAAAAACGCAGCAGCTGAAAAAAGTATAGATGTGAACGAGTCCCATAGGAAACCATATTAAATGGACTGTAGTGTGTTTCTGCAAAAAGCACTAAAAAACGCATTGGTGTGAACCAGGCCTCAATGGGGAGGTGCGTTTTTGGTCCTTTTTTTTTTTTTTTTTTTAACTGACCAAATATGCCCCAAAAATGTGGCAAGCAGGATTTTTGAAACCGCAAGGGAAGCACGACAGACCAGTGTTAAGACATACATTGAATTTAAAGGGATGCGTTTTTTCTTGAGCTTTTCTTTTACGCAAAAGCGCTTCTTAACCTGCTCAGTGTGAAAGCAGCCTATTGGCTGAAAAGGTGCTGAACAAAATTCATATTCATTTAAATTCATGATATTAATTAGAAAGTCGAATATAATACAATTATGTTTAAAAAATATAGATTTTGAAAAAAACTGTTGAAAAAAAAACTGAAAAAAACATTTTGGTTTCTGTTTTCGACCAAATGCATCCTGAATTTTCAGTTTTTGGTTTCAGTCCAGAATTTTCATTTCGGTGCACCAGTAAATTTTGCACAATGTTTGGCCTACCTTAGTGGGGAGGAATGTTGACCTGATGTTTTGGATATTCTTCTGTTGTGCATCGTCTGTTGTTATTATCACATATACAAATTGATAATAGATGTCATATAGCACACATCACTTAATGGCGTACCGTGGTCCGTTTCCAGACCGGGTTACTGTGCCATCCGGAGCGGCTGCAGTCCCGCTATTTACTGATGACTGCTCTCATCCTCATCCAGCTGACATCGGAGGTAGGACAGCTCCGGGTGGACAGCGGGATGCACATCAATATACAGCTGACATCCGAGACAGAACAGCTCCGTATGGATGGCAGAATGCACATCGGTCTAGAGTAGACATTGGAGGCTCCAGATGGAGGGCGGGAACTGTCACGTTAACATTTCAAGTTAAATAGCAGATGGTTGGTTGCAAGCAACCAATCACCTGCTGGTTACCAGGAAAAGTTGTGCAGCTCCCAACGTCCATCTGGAGCTGTCCTGCCTCCAATGTCCGCTCTAGACTGATGTGCCCTCCCACTGTCCATCTGGAGCTGTCCTGCCTGTGATGTCCACTCTAGACTGATGTGCCTTCTGCCGTCCATTTGAGCTGATGCCTGTCCTGCCTCCAATGTCAGCTCTAGACTGATGTGCCTCCCGCCGTCCATCTGGAGCTGTCCTGCCTCCAATGTCTGCTCTAGACTGATGTGCCTCCCACCGTCCATCTGGAGCTGTTCTGCCTCCAATGTCCGCTCTAGACTGATGTGCCTCCCGCCGTCCATCTGGAGCTGTCCTGCTTCCAATGTCCGCGCTAGACTGATGATCCTCTTGCTGTCCATCTGGAGCTGTCCTGCTTCCAATGTCTGTTCTAGACTGATGTTCCTCTTGCTGTCCATCTGGAGCTGTCCTGCTTCCAATATCCGTTCTAGACTGATGTACCTCTTGCTGTCCATCTGGAGCTGTCCTGCTTTCAATGTCCGCTCTAGACTGATGTTCCTCTTGCTGTCCATCTGGAGCTGTCCTGCTTTCAATGTCCGCTCTAGACTGATGTTCCTCTTGCTGTCCATCTGGAGCTGTCCTGCTTCCAATGTCTGTTCTAGACTGATGTTCCTCTTGCTGTCCATCTGGAGCTGTCCTGCTTCCAATATCCGTTCTAGACTGATGTACCTCTTGCTGTCCATCTGGAGCTGTCCTGCTTTCAATGTCCGCTCTAGACTGATGTTCCTCTTGCTGTCCATCTGGAGCTGTCCTGCTTCCAATGTCCGCTCTAGACTGATGTTCCTATTGCTGTCTATCTCGAGCTGTTCTGCCTCTGATGTCAGCTGTGTACTGATGTACCTCCCACCTTCCACCCTTTGTAGGTAGGAGATGAAAGGGAACTACAGTCATTGCTGTGAACAATTTAAGGGAATCCGAGGATGATGTGAAAGGGGGCAGAGGACAGGAATCTGGAGGAGGAGGGGTGTTATATAAAGGGGAGAAACTGAGGATAGGAATGGGGGGGTGAGGACAGGAATGTGAAGGGGATGAGGACAGGAATTTAAAAGAGGAGGCTGACATAAAGGGGGGCAGAGGACAGAAATCTTAAAGAGGACATGGGGGGGGGGGGGGTGATACAAAGGGGGAGGGGGTGATGACAAGGATGTGAAGGGGGTGATGTGAAGCAGGCTGAAGACAGTAATTTGAAGGAGGAGGGGGCTGTTATAAAGGAGGCAGAGGACAGGAATGTGAAGGTGAGGTGATATTAATGGGGGGAGTGATGTGAAGGGAGGGGGGGTTGAAGACACTGCTCTGAAGGGGGGACTGTGATGTAAAGGGGTGATCTTGATGTAAAGGGGACGGAACTGTGATGTATAGAGGGGAGGGGAGTTGTGGTGTTCCTGGTAGGGGTCTGAGAACAGTTGTAATAATGGGATTGTGACTGGAAGGATCTGAGGCTAGGTTCACATCATTGTTACTATATATTCTGCGTGTAGGCAGCCTATTCATTTCAATGGGCTGTCTTGCATGAAGAAATTAAAAAAAATAAGTTCCTGTCCCTTTTTTTAAATGCTGAACGTGCGGCATTTGTCGATGTTCCAAGGTGCCATTAAGAATCAAACATGCAATTCGGACCTCAGCTGGAAGAAAATGTTAGTGACTGGACCTCCGTAAATTTTTATTCAACACCCCTGTCATATAGGATACGTTTTAGGATACTCAGTGGATAGACATTGAATATAGATGTGCATATCTATGGTGATAACCACTAATAAAAGATCAGGAATTGGATTGTATTTTTATGTATGAATATCTAGTGTTCATATCTAGTCTAAAGTACACGTGTCGTGGGAGAGATACAAAGGCTGCTGTTGCCTATTCTGACCACTTTCTGCCAAGGCCAGTTGCTTGGTTGTCATGTTTTAATATCTTTGATTCAGAGATCCTGGAAAAGCATGCAGCAAATGAAAGTCAGAAGTCCAAATTCTATACTTATTCTGGGTTTATCAGTCAACGTATTGAAGACAAAGCACCAGCATGACAAGAAGGTGAAGTCAAAAATGACAGCCTTAATATTGGGTCTTTGCTTTAAAACTGAAAAGTATATTTGCATGTATGCTTTTGTAGAAAAGCAGCACACATAAAAACCAGCATCCGTGTATATATAATAGAAAAAAAAAAAATCCATTGGATAAAAAAAAAAATTATATCGATTTACTGTTCTCCATGTTATTGCCAGTCCTCTTCCATGAGGAATGCCATCCAGCTTCATTCAATCCACTTCCTATGAGCCTAGGTCATCAAGAACAGGACTCCTGAGT